CTCCTCTCCTCCTCCTGCCCTCCTCTTCCTGCCCTTCTCCCATCGCCACCGATCGGTGATCCGATTGGTGTTTTTTTCTCGAGCGCTGTCACTGCTATAGAGCCTGCTATAGAGTCTGTCATAGAGTCTGCTATAGAGCCTTGTCAGGAATTAAGGTCCCACGGGAGCGCTTGTGGTGTAACTTTTTTTCGAAAAAACGAGGAGAAGGGTGATTAGAAAGCAGGAGGAGGAGGAGGAGGAGGCGTAGATTATGATAGGAGAAGGAGGGGAAGGGAGCGAGCATTGTGGAGAAGGAGGGGAGAGCGTGGCTACTAGTTTGTGAGCGAGGTAGTGAGAGTTAGGAAAGAAGAGGCGGTATTGTAAGTTTACTCGTCCTTCTTAGTATGACTTCACCTTCTTCCCCCCCTGTCTCTCTCTCTCTCTCTCTCTNTCCTAATATACTGTCGATTTTTTGCGTTTTTTTTGTCAATATATACAGAACAGCCACCTGTATTTTATCGGTTTCGGGTTGAGTAACCCGAATCTGACCTTATTTGAAGATTTGAGGCTATATACATGTCAGGGTCACGATAGAGGAACGCCGACTGAGGAGGTGCAATCGTACGTCAAAACTATTAAACACTAAGATTAGAGCATAATACACAGTTTTTAGGGATTTGTGGCCTCTGAAATCGATTCTGATGTCTATTTTGGCGATTGAGGACATAGTGACCACATTTTGGGGTCAAATGTCAAGCTCAGATTGTGTTACTAACTAAAATAAACAAGATTATTCAGGATCAATTTTTATTAAGTAATTCAGATAGAAGTATTCGTACGGTCATCTTCGCGCTATTAACGCAGCCACTTCGATTTCAAAGGGCATTACATCGACACCGGCGTGGTTGCATTTGCACCTTCCTGTGGCATGCTTCAGAGCGCGAGTGCAAAGAATGGCAATGTACTGAAGCGCTGCGCTGAGAGTCGGCTCCATAGTGGTTGCCATGTACTGGTGCACCCTTTGTGCCAATCCCAACTCAGCTGAAGTAGTCAGGAATTTCTTGCTGACGAGGTGGCCTGACTCCAGGTAGAATGTGCGCGTAGTAACTCGCTCAATGCTGGAAACTGTGCTGCTTGGTAGGTGAATATTTTCCAGTGATCTGCCTTCCAGTGATGAAGAGCGTGCGTGGCAGTCATTGACACCAGCTGCCACACACCCCTTGCTGTCACATGAGTACGCCGAAGCGTTGCGATCTGCTGCATATGTAGACACCAGACTGAAGAAGGTCTAGGGTCGCGTGTAGAGCAGCGCACTAGGTGTCGTTGCAGCGTCGACATGCTTGTCCAGGCCTGCCCAGTGCGGTCTTCTTGCCACATGCCAAGATAACTGCTGAATTCGTGTCACATCGTGTTAGGCTGTCGGAAAAGGGATAGTGCCAAGGACTTTGAAGGACGAGATTGGACGCGATGGTCATGGGACTGGGAAATCACGGTACTTTTTACCAGACGAACCCCACCAGAGCTCTGTGAGCGACGGGTCTCGAAAAACCGGATTGCCAAAACCACGACATCGCTGTCCACCGTTGCGAACATAGACCAATCTGCCTCTGCGGCATGTGCCAGATGCAGTAAGATCTTTGTGTCCGCCTCGGAATGGTTGCACGGCTGAAGTGTTGTGAGGGTCAACATGCTTGTTGGAGAGCACGGTCTCGAAACGGTACTCAGGAGGAGCTTTTCCACCCATGTCGTTCTTGGAGATCTGTGTGCTGATGAATGAGAAGAGCTCCTTCTTGTTCTCCCTCAAGTTTTTAGGAAGCACTGTTCCATTCATGCTTCGGAATTTGAGTGCTGCCATCGCCGACTCTTGTCCGTGGGCCTCTCCCACGTCGTAGCTGTGTGAGAGCTTTGAGGTTATTTTCCTCGGGGTAATTATCCCATACCAGCGTCGATGCGTTGGGTACCACTCTTCATTTGGACCTCCAGAAATGTACAATGTGAAGCGCATACTCTCTGAATGTTTTTTGCTGTTGTGGGGCGCACCATGATGTGATCACTGGCTGCCATATCCAACACCACCAACGTGGCTTGTTTGGCAGCAGCTGGTGCGGCCAGTGGGTGCATTGAGGCATTGAAGAATGTCCGATTGTCGTCCCAGATCGCAGCGACCTCGATCCGCCAGGCTTGGTGGCTCTTTCTGATTTTCGAACCGAAAAGAAGTCTGTCATGTCGCATCGGGACAACGACTGAAGTGAGCAGGAAAAGCTTGCGTGATTAAGGTCATATCTGCCTCTGTATGCCAGTGTCCTTCTTGGCCTTTTTTCTTGGGTGTCAGGTCGGTTGGCGAATGTTAGATGTTGTTCGCCTTGAATGGTATCAGATACCGGTATGAAAGCTTTTTCCAGGCCTTTTCAAATGACGCTATGCTGCGCATGAAGGGCTTGGTCAGCTCATGGATTTGGATAGAGAATTAGCAACGGCCTTGTTCCATAACACTTATGTGGTATCGAGGCTACAGAGCTCCTGACTTGTAGTGAGGAAAGGGTTGTCTAGCTGCTCGACCACCCTGATGAACGATAGTACATTCCTTTCGAAACTTGACTTGCAAGCTGTGTTCTTCCTCATGATGAGCATGGGATGATGATGGTGGGTCGTGGATGGCCTCGAACTCCTCAACTATCGTGTCAGTCAGGATGCCAAGTACAAGCATTGTTTCTTGTTGCAATTCACATTCTCAGAATCTGGATTTAGGCAAAGTAAAGCATTGTTTCTTGTTGCGATTCACATATCTCAGAATCTGCTTCCAGTAAACCACACTACACACACACGCGCCACGGGCACACGCACACGCACCGCACACACGTACGCGCACTGCGCACACGCACACGCACGTCACACAAACACACACACACACACACACACACACACACACAGCGTACACACACACTCGGCAAATCAGCAGAGCGTCCCCTTGCGCAATCATGCCGTGCGTGTCGCAAGATCTCTGTGTGAGATAGATGTCCGGACGCGTAGCTAGCGGTTCTCGTCCGGGAACGCGTCACGTAGGCATGCACGGCCTTATTTTTTATGGTGGCCAGGCGGGCACACTACCCGACAGTTTCAGGTGGCCGACGCCGTTTCAGGTGGCCATTGGCACCCGGGCCACCGTTAAAGTCAATCCTGCGTCAGTGTGCAATGGCTCATATACATATAGGAAACATAGTTTCTAATTTTCTGAAAAGTCGTTTGTCGTTACGGTCGGTCGTTGTTGCTGCAGTGTGTCTTGGCAAAAAGTGTTTCTGTGGGAGAATCTCAATACTTTTTGATGTGGGGTGACACACTAGAAACACTGGGGTTGACCCAAATTGACCTAGGTGACCTTGAGGAGTGACCTTGACTTCGAATCCTATAAATAAGATCAGAATCGGATTCTCAGAGGCCACAAATCCCTAAAAAGTGGTATTATGTCTGATTCTAGCCAGTGCTCGAATAAGCGTGTCCGTTGTCGCAGACAACCAGAATTTGCCGCGGACAACCTAACCAGTCTGAGACATTGTCGTGGACAACCAAGTAAAAAAGGTGACGAAAACGCACTTATTTTAGTTTTTCTCAGGGGTTCTCAAGAGCACTTATAGCCTGCGGCCCCGCCATTAATCTATGGTGTGGGAAAGCGACGCATACTAGCTGCTATTTGCAACACTGGTATATGTCAGGTTTTCTGATTTATGAGAGGTGAAGTCGATTTGACCAGCAAACAGCAGTTCACCCCTACATTTTGGTATTTTTATTCCATTATTATTTTTGAATTTTCCGATGGCTTTGCCCATGCAAAACAAACAACAGTGGGGATTCATGTTGATCCGAAAGTAAAAAAAAAGAGAATTGTCGTAGCAGAATGAAGGGCTGTACAGTTATCTCAAAAGTGCCGCAAAATACCATCTCCTGCCATCTTACATTTTCAAAATTTTGTGGGGGAGAACCCCCATACCCCCCGCTTTGTGTTCACCCCCCGAAAATCCTAGATCCTAGATCCGCCACTGAGACATTACATATCTTGGGAGCAGAGAACAATGAACAAAAATGTCGCCTTTTCGCATGCACCCAAAACAAAGATTGCAGAGAAGTAGAGGAGCCGTAGGGTGTGGAGAGGGAGGTGGAGGAGCCATTAAAATATTAAGTCATCCACTATTTTGCGCAGTGTGCTGTTTTTGGCCCCCTTGTTAAAAATCCTGGCTACAACACTGTTTTTGGGTGTTTTCTGACCATATTATTATGTGATTGAAAATAGGAATTTGGGGATATTTTTTTGGGACAACCAGAAATTGTTGCGGAGCAACCGATTTGATGCCTGGGTTGTCGCAGGACAACCACATTTTTTTTCTTATTTCGAGCACTGCTAGCACTTTTGGTTTTTTACTATAATTGACGTACGATTCACCTCTCGGTCGGGTGACCTCTATCGTGACCCTTGACATGCAATATTGCCTCAAATCGTTCAAATAAGTCAGATTCGGGTTACTCAACCCCGGAAACTGATAAAATTGAGTGCTGTTTGATATGTGTATATATTGACAAAAAAACACTAAAAAACAAGATATTTGACCCCAAAATGACCTTTAGGGTGACCTTGAGGGGTGACCTTGACCTCAAATCACTGAAGTAAGATCAGAATCAGATTCCCAGACCTTGAAAACCCCTAAAAAGTGGTATTATTTATGATTATAGTTCTTTTGGATGTTTAACTAGATTGACCCCCAACCCGGGTGGTGGCCATATTGGAATTTGCCAATATGGCGGCCCCGGGGAGCGCCCATTCCGGGCCCCGCCAGAAATCGAAAAAGTATGGTATGGGCAACATCTGGGCCAAATTTGGTGCTTTTGGAAGAATATGAACCAAACGGCCCTTTTTTTAGCCCTACCACCCCTGACTAGTTAGTCTTGCAGCCTGGTAGTCGACTTACTGCATGTCGTGACAGAACAAATGCTGATCTAATGATGGTTTAATTAATTAACATTTATTGTAACGACTTTTCAGGGGTGGCGTCTCGCTCGCGATGACTTCTGCCGTCGTCACCAGGTGTCTCCGCGCGCTCTCGCAGCACGCACGTCAGCTGTCCAATCACGTGACAGCCACGCGCGTTCTCGCCCCCCCGCACCTCCCGCTTGGGTGCGGTGGCGCCACCTGCAGGAGCAACCGTGTCGGACTCGCGCTGCGACGATACCACGACACTCCGTCACTGACGGCCGACGCCGTCGCCGCGGAAACGATCAAGATAGACGGCGAGAGCTTCCCGCGAGACCGACTCACGAACGTGACGCCACGCATCGCTTCGCACGTCGCTCGCGACCTCCCCGACAGGCGGCGCCACCCGCTCTGGCACGTGAAGAACCGCATACGGGACTACTTCCACGCCACTTACAGGAAGTCGGGGCGAACGCCGCTGTTTTCGCTCTGTGAGAATCTCTCTCCCATTGTCACGATCGAGCAGAATTTCGATAGCTTGCTGACCCCCACGGACCACGTGAGTCGTTCCCCCGCCGACAGTTACTACGTGAACGAGGGACGGATGCTGCGCGCGCACACGTCTGCACACCAGCGCGACCTGGTGAGGATGGGACTCGACGCCTTCCTCGTCGTCGGTGAGATAATCGCCCGCGCATTCTGTCTCTCTCTCTCTTACTCTCCGTCTCTCTCTCGCCCTTCTCTCCTCCTCCCTCTCCCTCTCCCGCTCTCTGTCTCACTCTCTCTATCTCACTCTTATTCTATATCTCTCTTTCGCCCCCTCTCTCCCTATCCCTATCCCTCTCCCTCTCTCTCTCTCTCTGTCTCTGTCTCTCTCTCTCTCCCTATCCCTCTCCCTCTCCCGCTCTCTGTTTCTCTTTCCCTATCCCTCTCCCTCTGCCTCCCATGTAACTTTGTTAATAATGCTCTCAGTAGCCTGGATACAGCTCGTCATATTTTTTTCCGTCATATTTTAGCTCAGCTGACGAAGTCAGATGCAGCATGTAGAATCGCATGATTGTCCGTGCGTCCATGCGTCCGTGTGTCCATGCGTCCGTGCGTCCGTCAACAGTTGGGCACAAATCTTAACCGCTCGACGTACGGTCTTGATATTCGGGACGTCGACCAGTGCGAAATTGGAGGTCACAGGTCAGAGGGCAGTGGGGGAAGTCAGATATCAGAGATTTTCTGAGGACATGGTCTAACGGACCGAGAAAACTTTTTTGTTTCAGCGCTGACCTACCGTTTTTATCACTTTATTGAAAGGACCATGAAATCTACTTTCTGCTGACGTGCGAAGAGTAAGTATCTGATAACCTTTTGACCCTCAAGAGGAGGGTTAAACATGGATTTGTTGACTGTTAACAAAGGACTGAACTGCTTTTGCTATTCGAGCCCCTCCACCCCCTACCCTCCCCCCACCACCACCGCTACGCTCGCGCTCGACGTATATCCATGATAACGTTAATATAGCGAAGTCATTAAAGTTACACAGCTATATCTTTATTACTGTACTACCGGTATAGCAAAGCCTATCAATGCGGTGCGGGAGGGCGCACTTGATTCGGTTGCCAGTAAGTTTATCAGAAGAATACCCGGCTACAGTACACGTCAGTTGAGCGCTGTCGCTCTGCGGCACTTGTTTCATATATATATATATTATATATGCTTCTATATGTTATGCCTTCGCAGGCGACTGCTACCGCCGAGATGAGATAGACGCCAGCCATTATCCGGTCTTCCACCAGTGCGAGGGAGTGCGACTGTTCACGGAACATCAGGTTTGTGCAGGACTACGGCAACACCTGCGTATAAGGGTCACTTGGGGGGGGGGGAAATGTCGAAAGTGGCCTTGATGGAGAGGTGTCGGTTGTATATAGGTGGTTTCAATGTATGACTGTCGCATTAGGTGAAAGCTAGAAAGTGTCCTTTATAGACAGGTCATCGTTTTTAGCTCACCTTGACATCGTCAAGCTGAGCTATTGCCATGGGTCGTCGTCCGTCGTACGTCCGTCCGTCCGTCCTTCCGTCCGTCAACATTTCGCTTCGGTCAACGATAACTCAGGAACCGTTTGACCCACATGTTTGAAATTGGGTATAGTTGTTACTGCTATACTCCCATATGGAACGTCCTATTTTGAAGCACGCCAGTCGACGTACTTTCGAGCCACGGCAATTTTTTGGCAAAAATGGGAATTGCCATTAGTCAGTTCAGGTTCAACGGATTTTGCTCATTTTTGGTATGTGAATAAATAAGGGCTAGGGGTTTTGATATTTAAAAAAAAATTATGCAAATTAGGTAGGGTTTGGCAATTATATAGCATATTATATAGACCCAAACAGTCTGTGGTGTCACACTCGTCTGGTTCGTTTTACAAGAGTTCATTGACAATATCTTTAATGCAAAATTGGTATTTCCTTTCCACCCTGCCGATAAAACGTCTATATTAGAGTAAAGATTTACAAAACATGTCGGAACGTAGCATAGCCTATTTATTTCAAACGCCATCGCTACAAAGCGGGTATAGCGCCATCTACGGTCACAAATTGTGAATCATTTTGGTTTATAAATTATTATTGCGATATACAGATGGCAATCGTTTCTATAATGTACGTCGATGGTTGCTCAATTAAAACTGACTTCTTCTTACTCACTCATTTGTGTCCTTTTTAGCTCATTTGACATAGTCAGATGCAGCTTGTAGAATCGCATGATTGTTCTTCCGTCCGTCCGTGCGTCAACAGTTGGG